TGAATTTGTTACGTGTGTTTGTAATAAGTATTTATTATATGAAATGAAGGAATATCTTGCGAAAGATTTTTATTATTGCCTTAAACGTGTTATTAAAACACGTACAGTTAATAAAACATCTTTTAGATTTATTTCGACCGACAAAATGAGTTACTTTGTCCAAATAAATTATTAAGAAATTGAAGGAAATTAAGTCAGTAGCCTTTTTTATATATATATATTATTTATACTGTAAGTTACCACAGTTATTTTTTTTTACATTTTTTTATGTGTGTAGTTAAAGGATATAAGACACCATATTATTTTCGGGTAAATTACTTTCTTACGAACTTAGAACTACTATAATATATGAAGAATGAATTGTAACACTCTAACCCTCCTGGCGTGAAACGACTTGGCCCCTTTTTGTTCATACAAATTGCCGCTTTTGACCTTTAGAAGAGCACAGAAAATGAAATTTACCAATTTTATGATTGATAATTTTTTAATCAGAGGTAATTTCGACGAATCACATCATAAAATAAGTAAAATTATGTTTCTATTTGATAAAAAAAGGTCTTATTTGATCTGGTTTTGACATCGATCATAACTTTTAGTAAAAAATGAATTTCGCCAGTTTTTTTCGATAGGAGAAGGGGGCTAACGAGCTGCGAATCGCGTTAACAACAATTGATCCGAAGCTTATGGACATCTCCAATACCAGATGAACCGCAGATGCGTTGCCGATGTACAATGTATTGGTAATATAAAGTTAAATTAAATATAATAAATAATTAGTGATTATATAAATAGCACGTATATAATTTACAATTTGGCCTCGTCAGCTATAATTATAACATCCCTTCCCAACCTTCAAAAGTGAACGTAAACCGAAAACTTTTATGAAATTAAAAAGTTTTAATTAAAAAACCTGAGCACACTTAACTTACCTTTCATTTTTAAATAAGGTTACTTAAACATCGTAGGTTAAAACAATACTTCAAATTTTCGGTCTGCAGAAATAAAGTTAATTTAAAATTGTGTGTTTTCTACACACATTTTTATATTAAAAAAAACGTCTGGCTAGTGAGCAGAGTAACGTATAACATGGGCATTAATCTGGTTTTAACGAGTTACTCCAAAGCTTTTTGTTGTACATATAGGAATTATTAATATTAGTTTTATTGCTACAGAGCACTATTGGGAAACGTAGTCTTATATTTGACAGATCATTTAAATATTTAAGAAAGAAACCATCTTATGCCTCCAAGCGTTCAAAGAACACTACCAAATTTTCATATCAAACAGATCAATGTATTAAAAACATAAAGAAGACACACAATCAATGCTCCTTATTTATGTAGAGGAGGTGCAGCTTTTCAATTGATTATTTCCTGTTATTCAAGTGTGGTACTTGAATTGAGCTTGTTTTCATTTCATTCATAATGTATCGATAACAAACAGTGTCATCGCTACGAGAGCTCTACGCCCTGTAGCCCGTAGCACTCATTACTTAATTAAGCTCAAGTGTATGTGTATACAATGATAAATGTAACTGCACATATATTTACTTACAGAATAAACTGAATATGGTACGTATTAAGCACGTAAAACTAAAATTAAAAAAAGGAAAACAAGCGTAGTAATAATTTTGAAATAAAAAAAAAGCTTTAAGCAAATACACACATCTGCATTATAGCAAAGATTTCATTAAGATAATATTATATTTGAACTTAAAATAGTAAAAAATAAGTTTGTATCAAAACAGTGTTTTTGCAATGAAAACTTTAAAATGATTTGGTCCGGCAACGTATTTTATAAAAGCGCAGTGCAGGCATCAACAATGTTATTTACTTTGCTCTCTATTTACATGACATTGATAAATTGTTAATTTGAAATGTCAACAATATGCAATTTGTATAATTTAATTGACAATTTGTTCAGCAAATATGGGAAACTGGCTGTCGCCCGTTACTCCGTCCGCGCGGGAAAAAATAGCCTATATGTTCTTTCAGACTATGTTCTATGTGAATGCCAAATTTTATCGAGATGCTTGTAGCCATTCTAGAGATACATTCAAACAAACATCCATCCATCCACCCATCCATCTAAACATTAGCAATAATAAGTAAGAAAGTAAGAAATAAGATGTGAAGAATAAAAATTAAATTATAAAATATCTTAAATCATAAAGAATAGTTCGAATTCTTTTTACGATGCCTGAGAATAAGATAAAAAAAACTCTGTCGTCTTCTTACCCCAATTTAACTCTAACAGAGTTTAATAACTTCCAAAAGTGACAATAAGTACGACCATTACTTTTCGCCGGATACGAATTTTTGCGAAGACACCTTTTGTTTCTATCCTTTTGAACTTAAATAAAAAATATGAACGGAAAAATAGTACGTATTTTCCAGTTTTGCTTCAGTTGTCTCAAGCTGTGCGTTATTTTTGTGTTATTTTTAAATACATTTTAGTAGTAGAACAAAACCTCTTATAGTGACATCGAAGAAACGGGCAATATTCAGTCACAGTAACTGATAATTTGAATATACAGTTTCGTAAGATAGATATTACAAAGCAAACGGTTTTGTTCGCTTTAGTCTATATAGCGTTTTAACAGAGTTAACTGGTTTAAACTTTATATTTAAAATACACAACTAACTTAAATATTCGTAGTAAAGAAATACAAGTTTTGTGAAATGAAAATTCCAGCTAAGATCAATATGAGAAGCGGGTATGAAAGTTCGCTCATAAATTTCTAGACGTGTCTAGGGACATATTGAAACACTTAGGAGAGCTTAACGATGCATGGAGCAAACTATATTAAGGTCTTAATACTTTATAAATATTCTTATTGTCTTATTTTTTCTTTTTAAAAATTTTATATTAAATTGAATATATCTTAACCTCAAAAATATTTAGATGGTATTACACAGATTTCTTAGTCGATTTATAATCGATTTTTAATCGATTCGCTTGATTCGATTGATTAGTCAATCGATTAATCGATTTAGTTTAATCAGAATATCAACAGAAATACAAGGAAGAAAATGGTATCGTAATGAAGAGAATAAATTTCTTTTGTTTCTGTTCACCGAAATAATAAAATATATTTGCATATTTTTATTTACATACGAGGAGTTTTAATTAAGGTCGCAGATTAATTATTATTAATTAAATGACCGCTATAAGTTGTGCAAGCTGAGCCACATTGTTAGGAGCACGTGCACTCTTTATTACAACGTTAGGCGGGATAACGAGCTAGGTTCAAACTGGCCTTTCTAATTATGCTACCACTTACATTATAATTTTGTTGAATTCTCAACTATTATTACAAACATACATCAATTTAATTAAACTATTATAAGTACCAAATATTACATCTAACTCGCGCTACCAATGAAAGAAAAAAAAGTTGTTCATAAAACAACTTCTATTTTAGATGAACATAAAACATGTAATACGGTCGGAGTAACGCAGGATGCGCATTCGTATTATTACATCTGTTAACTTGGTCGCGATAAAATTGAATCATTTGCTTGTTTAAATGATCATCAAATGAACATTGAGAATTAACATACCCATAAACAATTTTTGAAGATTCTAAACACCAATTGCTGATTTTGCTTTACTGAATACAACTCTAACAGCTTAAATCTCATGTTGTTACAGCTAGGTTAATATTTTGTAACATAATAATGTAATCTCTTGGGCGCATCTCGTGTACATAAATAGCAATTGACTAGATGAAGAATTCGCACAGCAGCGCTTTTGCTAAATTAATCTCAGAGAAACACCGCCGAGGAAATTAAACCTAGATAGAAGCTCGGCTTGAAGTGCTTTTTTTTAGTAATTTTTCAAAACACGATTGTGAAATTTTGCTCTGAATTTATGGTCAGGCAATTTTAAAAGATCATTTTTACGTAGGTTTGGAGAATTTTATGCATTTTGGCGTATATGAAGTTGGCTTGTCATCATGTTGTAACACTTTTAGTGCTTGAATTTTGAATTATTTGCCGTAAAATTGCACTAATTTAAAAACTTGTATGAAACATATTCCAGCTTTTTATAGTATGTTATGACGTATAATAGTTAAAGTAATCTATTTTAAATTCTTTAACAAATTATTCGAGTGCTAGTAAGGGTTGGATGAGTCCATTTCACGGAACATTAATTGTAAAGTGGAGTTGCCTGTATAAAATTAATTGCTGCGTTATTGTCCATTTATTTTTATTAATTCCGCATAAATATGACTAACGGAAAAAACTGATGGAGTGAAAATAATTTACTGCCTTTTAATCAATTTCCTTTTTCAGACATGTTTCATAAAATTGTTCAATTGATGTTAAATATCAATTACGTAATAATTTAGTAATCATTCTTTATTATTGCGTAATATGGTGTTAACTGTAACTCCTATGGAAAAAGACATCTACTAAACAAAATATTGAATAATTTACTACCTCGTTTTCATACAAGTTTCGTGTCGCTAACGTAAGGAGGTGAACGGAAATCACCCATAATTCTTTGATATAACGACGAGATCAGTGTTAAAGCGCGACTTAAGCTTTTCGTTCTAGAAAGTTTAATACAGAGTGATAAAGCTTATTTATCTCGCTATTTACTTTTAGTATTCGAGTTATTTATATTCACGTAGATCTTTCTAATATTTTATAACATTCAATATCGATTTTACACAAAATTCTTGTAAAGAGTTTTTGTAATTTGAAACCATTATTTATATTCCTATTTTCGTATTGACAAAAAATTATTGTTATGGTTTAGTAAATTAATAGCGTATTGTTAACTAATAAGTAAAATTAAAATTTACTAAAATTAAAACACACAGAGATCAAAAGAATCATTCGATTAAAATCGATTAGATTAGACTTTTGACGTTTTACATTTATTATAAGGCAAGTTAGAGTAAAACGTCAATGTCAAATGTCAATGTCACAATCACGTTTTGTGAGCTGGTGTTATTTTGCGTTATATTTTTTCTAATTTATTTAATTAGTTAGATAAAAATAATGGCCCAAGGAAAACTTAAAGTGAAAAGTAAATTACCATCTGGTGTTAAAGCCAAGAAAAATAAAGGGAAAGCGGTGACAAAACGTAGCAATGCACCAGTTCGGAGTAAAAACAATGCTGTAGAAAAAAATAAGATGAAGGCAAAGGTAACAAAGATGGTGAACGCAGTGGCTGAACAGCAACTTAGAGCATTGGCTACAGACACGCCTCAGTTATCTGCCGCGCAACAAAGGGTCGCAGCAGCGCCTACTGCACCTGTGCCCTCAAAATAACCTAATTAGTAAGATCCTATTTTTATAGACGACGTGTTTGTAACCAAAGTGAAAATTTAAAAAATAAAAACATTATTTTTGCAACGTAAACTTGGAAATTAAAAAAGTTGCACAATATATATCTAGTTATTGGATGATTGTTCCAATGGTGAGGTGTAATTTGTAATTACTGTAATAATTAGGAGTAAAATGTAAAATATGCTACTAGTACTCTATTTACATGTTGAGTTTACATATAATCAACCATGCAAGTATGTATTGTTTTAAAAGTGACTATTGAATTGAAAGTTGCAAGTATAATAAGTATTGCTGCATAACTAGGGTGTTTGTTTCGCTAATCAGTTGGCCCTATTAGATTTATGTTCTATTGGACTATTTGTGTCCACCAATACTGAGGCCGATTGATCAGCAAGTGAAGAAACACACTATAACTAAAATAATATTTTGATCCCTCTCATATTATTTGAAAAAACAAAGACAACTATATTTTTCACCCGAGTAAAGTTTAGCAAGAATAATGTGTAATTTTAAAACAATTATTCATAAACAAAAGTTTCTGCAACTTGGTTGATATTCCTCTGAACAGAATCTTTTGCATTATACTGTTATTACCTCGGAGTTCTTTGGAGAATTAAAAGAACATATATTGCATATTGAAATATGTTTATACACTACTAATGGTAAAATAAAAACTTTGTATTTACAATAATTTTGTGTATTTCATTAGGTTGTAAATAAATGTCAATAAAAAAATAATGTTTTTCATTTATGATGCTTATTTATTTTTTATAACTCTGAGATATATTTACAAAGAGATTCAAAGATAAGAAGGAGGTGTTTCTCGCTCAGCTTTGAATCAAATAATTGAAGTCATTTTTTTGTTTTCTATCTTAATAGTTAAAAATATAATTGGATAAAGACTGTTCTAACCCTTAGAACTTTTACAAATTAACACTAATACTGCAACATGTATTAAAAACTAAGGCAGATATAAATAACTTTTCGCCACATTAAAATATTCATGCATACAGGGTGTTCATTCAGGTATATTCCTAATATAGTTGTAATTCTTTCCGATACCACTTAAAAAAATAAAAGTCTTAGTACAGAAAACCTTAGCTAAAAAGATAAAATCAGATGTAAATACAAAGGTAAAATTTATACAAAGAAATCAGCTTTAAATATTAAAAAAAGACCTCAAAAAATATTCAATTGCCATTAATTAAAATATACGGTTATTTTGTCCAAACGTAACGGTATTGTGTTACATCAGAACACACTGATTGGCGGAACCAATTCAATTACATCGTCCATTAAAAATAAGTTTCGCTGCGAAGAATTCCCCAAATTTATATTCACACGGTTTTTGCTTTAAATTGACAAAAAAAATGATAAGTAATTTTTATTAATGATCTAACTAAAGCGCGAATGTTAGGCTGTTTGAAGGTATCTCCACAGCTTAACGGATCTCGCTAAAATTTGGTATAAATGTAGAACATAGTCTGGAACAACACATAGTTTTTTTTAATTTTGCTTGATCGTTGTCGTTAACAAAAGATAGTAGTGAATAAATTTATCTATAAATCGGTACAACTAAAATTATTTTGCTTACATCATACTTAATTAATATTATAGTTACGTTCATTGCGAGTTCAAACTTCATAAATACAAAGACATCTTGTTATCTCTATTATTCTCTAAAAAAAAACAAAGAAAGTAGTATTTTTAGGTGTTTCGCAATGGAAATTTGATACAATAATGGAACCGGAGATCCGCTGCATTTTAAAAGGTAACAAACAAATTAACGTATATTAATATATTTGCATATATAAAAAAGATACAATAACAATAAATACACATTAAAAAAAGTAATCAACATAAAACCGATGACAAAATAATGTGAAAATCAAACGCGATATTCAACAACGCTAAAATGAACTTGTGGTCAAAATATTACAGTAAATAAAAAGTCCCTTTTGAGTTAACTCAAATTCAGCGTGGTCGGGTCTGGTTTTTATTAAAAATTTATAATACCTGCATATCGTATTTATGTATGTAACATATTCAAGGTAATGTCGCACGGTGAGTGAACGGACGCGGATAGTGCTGTCTGATGTAATATCGATATTATTTATTAATATCGACAATGATTTAAATTGCATTTGACAAGCTGCTTTATAACATTGACTTTAAATATTTTACTGTTTGATATAGTCAAATATTATTGTAGGCAAATACATAATTTGCAGTGCAACACTATCTGTTGACAAATTCATGCTCTACATAGTATATTGCTTTTAGAGATAATTATGTTATGCATAGTTGATTAAGGCAATTTGCCTAAGTCCTGCTTGTTAGCCTAATTGACTAATATAACACGTGACTGCCCATCTAAGTACCGTGTTTCTAATCAGTGCTTAACATACGTAAATAATTGTGCTAATAATAAGATAAAATTAACATAGCCTAATGAATTGTTATAATGCATGTTACATTATTAGAAGTAATGCTGGTTTGACAACTTAGATAAAAATTAAAATTATTTATTATAAAAATATGCTTTTAATTTAAAAATACATTTAGGTAGTAAAGTAGATTGTTGACTTGCTTTAATTTTATTCGGTCGTATTTTATGATATGACAGAATGGTCGACATCGACACTGGTTATTTACGACAAACATCTGGAAATGTGACGTCTGTATGTAACTCTTAATTCACTTTACGTTTGGTAATAACTAACAAATCATATTTACTTGTGCTCTATTTTTGGATACAAAGTTGACTTTTAATGTGATGCAAAATTACGTTGGCGACAAATTGTTTAGGATAGTAATTTTTTTAGGATATGCTTATGAATATTAGAAATTCTTAAGAAAATGTTATACACAAATTAGATAGATACCTATCACAAGATGTAATTTTCATCTTCCTCATACAATTTCTATATTTACTCGCTTGTGTCAAAATTAAGATAACATCCTCTACATTACTCGAATTTTCAACGTAACTTCGTAACTAAGCTTTGTAAGATATGTTACTGTTGGAAAGGGCATGTAGTCTGGAGCTCTACAAGCTTAATCTACGGAGGCAGCATCGTGCCAACTGTTTTTGGCAATGCCACGTAATAGCTTCAACATTGCAATGCAATATGTTTGTGGTTTAAACAAACAGTGTATCTCTTGTTGACATATTTAAGTTTTATTAAGTGGTAAGCTATAATATTAGTTATAAAGTAACTGCTTACATATGTAAGGTCGTCTGCTTCGAACAGGTTTTTCTGTCTGAGAATTTTAATATTATAATAATGGTCTGGGCCTTTGACCTATCCAAGCCAAAAATCAACTTGTATTTTATAACGAATTACAAAATTTATCATGTGTCTATTCATACTGTCACTTCTTTATGGAGGCTTTAATGGAGATGCAAGTATGGATATTATAAAAAAAATTATCGTTCCTTACAGTACATCCCTACTGTGACAGGGCATGTGGGTATCGGGGGGCACGGGGAGAGGGGATATGCGCCGATTTCTCCGAATAAGATTAATAAATGCAGGCGGGGCGGGGGACACCGTTCGGCTAATGACACGCCGCTGCAGATATTTTTTATCGCGAATTTAAAACATAAACTGGTTGCGGCGGTAGCTCTGACCACCCCCGCCCCACGCCCCGCTCTCCAATCCCCCGCAGCCCGGAGCCTGCACTCTGCATAGTTCACCGCTCCTGTATGACCAGACGCAAACATCTTCATATGATTCAACTCATTTTATCAATGAAAACTATATTGTGACAGCTCTATGTGATATGTTGGCGATCATATTGACCGAGCTGTTACATGGAGAGACAAATATTATAATAATTTCAAAGACATTTTGTAAACCCACATTAATAAACCTAACGGTGGAGATGCCTTTTTGTTTTTGATATAATAGATTTGTATGATTTCAATAAGTTTAGACTTCACCTAGATTAATCAAATTATATAATACATTGGAAACAGTTTTTCTTGTTAGATGTTAAATTTACATAGAAAAAAAATTACGTTGGTGTCGATTTGATAAATGGAGCGGCGGAAATCTTTAAATCTATCAAAGAATAATATCACATTTAAAAACAATTCTCATGTGTTTACGTAGTGTAAGTGTAAATAGTTTGATATGTGTGACAGGCACCACGCCGTCTAGCTTCAGGCCTGCCAACATTCCTGTCCACAATCCTTCACTATAATTCCCGTCGCGATCACCATTCAATCAACTTGCAATTAGTACCATGCCAGTGTACATCTTGTAATGTTTTTCTTGTAATTTTCTACTAGCAGCTAACGAGTAAATTTACTGTGTAATATAAATCAAGTGAGCTAAAGCGTACGGCTTTAATGAGTTGAATTATTAACAAAACCGTGAATAGTACTGATCTGTTGTCGAAACAACCTTTTTTTGTACAGGTGACATAGCTGTGAAAACCAAATGTTTTAACAATCTTGAGAAATATTACAGAAGAGTTAGAGTAGAGTCATTTACATAAGTTACTCACCATCAAGCTGCCCTTATCCTTATGGAGGGTCGGCACAGTATGTTTTACTATTCCATCTCTATCAACCGTCATATCTGGACCAACCTTCCTACGCATGTTCACTTTTAGACAATCCATCCATACTTTTTTCAATCTTTCTCTATATGTGTAGGCAAATTCAATATATCTAACTTAGTTAAGTTACTGTCACTTACTTTTCTTTATTCTTGTAGTTGTTCAATAAAACGCAATCAATCGTCTCAATAAACAACACGGTTGTTAAAATTTACATCATTGGGTGATCTTAAATTTTAGTGATATCAGTATAACTTAGCTTGGACTTCTTAGTACCGCTGCGTGACTTTGCGGAGCAGGATTTACATACAGCATAAGAAAGCGGCCTCGGCGATCAGATGCAGTAGTTTAACGGTGTTCAATGCTGAATGCAACTATTTATACGCAGCGGCTTCTAACGGCCACGCGATTTATCTATCTCCCTAATGAGCGTACTGCTGCTTATCTCTGTGTAAAATTTTTGCATATATTTGTTCAATGCAATCCATAACCAGTTTTTATATAGGCAACTAAAATCATTTGTAAAAAATGATGACGTCATTTTGTCAAAGAATTGATAAAGACGAGTGGTGACAATGGTTATACAGTTATAATCTGTAGTTGTGTAAGATTTAAGATTTTAAGTACAAAACCTAAGCAAGCTTACAAAATCTAGTATTCTTATAAATGTAAGATTAATACCACATATAAAATTAGATCATACATCATTAATGCCCATAACCTTTTAACTAATATTCTATGGAAACTTCAAAAGTATGGAATGACTGTGTGAAAGAGGATATGCGTAGTAA